GGTTTGGCTTTATAACGTTTGTGTTGAACCGCAGTTGATCATATCATTCAGTCTTATTTAGGTTGCGTTGAACTAGAAAAATTTGTTCAGGTTGCTTCGTAGTAAACACAATATAATCTCCATCAGAGGGCGATTCATTACGGTGAAAAAACGGAGAATAGAAAGTTTTTTAACACATCGGGACCAAATGATGTTGGGACTGTATCCAAAAATCGATGCGCCATGTGTTGTTTCTATTGTGAATGTTATTACGTTAAGGACTGTAAAATCCTGCCTTGAGAAAGGTTGACCAATGTAACCAAAACGTCAGCGAATACAATTCTCTACCGACTCCACTGTGTTATTAATATTATAACATTCACAACGAAGAACAGAAATCTTTTTTAGATATACAACCAAATTTTCGAAGATACAAGTAGAGACCTTCTGTAATAACAGTTACTTAAGAGTAGCCGTAAGAAGCTGATAAAATTTGTGGTTGGGCAAAGAACGCGTAGAAAAAACAAAACAGGATAAGGCATAATGAAATGCGAAAAACTGAGCGCCGAAGAACTATTTTCAAACCACTCACTAACGGGATACAGTTAGAGTAAGTGTTGGATAAAACAAAGATGTGTTGTTCGATGTCACTGATTTTTCAGCATAAAAACTAAAGGTGTTCACTATTTCTTTCAAATAAACGTATCCTGGAGGTATTTGTAGACCCTTTTGACCGGTTAGTCCAAAGGCCGTCCGTTCAGCGTACCAACTGATTTTGCAATAGTTCGAATACATTTTTACACCACTTATGAGTAGTTAGTTCATATAAACGAAACAGTGTGAATAGGAACTCAATATTACGCATTATTCGAATTCAGGAAGAAAATCTCGACTATAATTTACCATCCTCAGTTATTGGGTAACGATAATTTATCGAATCTCATTGGAATTCAATTGAAGAAATAACTGAATATTGATTGAATAAATATTTCAAGCAATCTGGCACAGTACAATGAAAAACGTCTGTTACCGGTGCTACCCGTTGATCTGAATTACGTACCTTCCATGACAAAATTTATTTCTCTGTGTAATACATAACTTCAGGGCTTTCGTCCGTCTACGTTTTATGACTTTGGGCAGTTTCCATTATTTTTATTCATTACAGATACAGTCACGTGTTTTCAGAGTATGGGAAAACCTATGAAATGCCTTGGGATAGGCAAGGCCAAAAGACAATTGGAGAGTTGAAGTTCCGTAATGTTTGTTTGAGTAAAATTCATTAAGATCATAATCAACATGACAGAAATGAAACCCTTCAGGCAGTAAACAGACCATCTGTCGCTTTGATTACTACCTAACCGGGTTTATGTGAGCCTTGTTGAGGTGTTCATATAGAAACAGTACCCGTCGTTTCTGTTTTATAAAAATCAAATCTACCGAGTTTGATTTAAATTTTAGAAAAATAAATTAAATCAATTTCAGAGTAGCAAGTTTCGATTTTCTACAAAATGATACCAAGCACTAGACCTGGTGTCATTTTGTCGAAAATCTTCAAAGAGTATTTAAAGCGGAACGCGGCATTATTGAACTCATGCAACTGACGAGACCAGGGGTCCATACGGGGAGACCGAGCAATAGGACAGAGGTTTCTGGTAGTGCGAGATAATTTCAGCTCAGAGGATCAGGACGAACAGATATCCTTACCTCTCCAATTGAGGGCCACTGGGATACTGTGAAGTACAGGGTACACTTCAAAGTATCAAACCGCTATTATCCCGTAAACAATGGCAAATTAGCGAGGAGCGATGCCGATGACAAGCTCACAAAGATGGACTGTGGTATATCATGTAAATGGAACATGAAGAAAAACCGCTCTGATCAACTGCTCGTTGGTCGAGTTGGTGGCATGCTTGCGTTCTACCTGTGAGATCCCGGGTTCGATTCCCAGTTGAGTGGATGGACTTGCTCACTACGGATGAAACCCAGGCACTTGGAAACAGCTGTCCAGTGCTTCCTAGCTTTTCATTTCATGCTTCATTTTTTCTATATGCGACGAATTCCTTCTTCGAAATTAAACGGACCTTTTATGATACAAATAAACTATGCTCCTCCTCGACTTTCTATGAATGTACTAAATAGTTACGGCGAGACGTTTAGTAGGATTGAGTAAAACATATCAATCACTGGACCAAAAACATGAGCCACTGTTAGAAAGGCGTTAATAACTATTGGCAAACATCGAGAAACAGTGCGAAACAACGTATTCGAAACTCGCGAGCCCAAGATACGTTCATGCGAATGAAGCGGCTCATAGGTTAGATAATACCAAAATAGAAAACGATTCGGACATACCACTCAAAATGCTGATGAGCTGTGTACGTTCGCAATACGACTGGTAATGATATCAGTAAATTAATTCAAGAATTTATACCGAAGCAACTCTTTTTTATCTTCCGTATAAACTATTAAAGAACCCCCACCGGGCACATCTAGCTATATTGATCACCTTGTTCGTTTCGGGTTTTATCTCTATTACTCCTCTTAGTACGTCCGAAATCCTCATGTTAAATGAGTGCTTGCTTCATTGCATTCGCCATGTGCGAATTTTCGGTATGCGATCGGTATGCCTTTAACGTGTAAAATGTCACTTCAAGACTGGGTTGGTCTAGCACCCAGCCTTATTCTAACTGGGGAAGTAATAGAACAAGTGGATAGGTTTTGTTATTTGAGCAGGTACTTCTCACCCAGTGAACACATCACGGATGAAGTATCAGCTCGCATACCGAAGGCTTAGTTGTCATTTGCTAACTTGAGACATCTGTGGCGCCGTCGCGACATCCGGCTATCTGTTATGGGTTGAGTGTATGCTGCAGCAGTACGGCCAGTTCCTCTATACGGAGCAGAAACTTGGCCATTAAGAAAACAAAACAAAGATAGACTGTCGATGTTTGAACATCGATGTCTACGCTGCATTGCACGAATTTGATGGGGCAACCGGACGAGCAGTGCTGAGGTCAGGCGCAAAGTTTTAGGCAACCGCGGTCGCCCACTGGAGCAAGTGGTCGACCTCCATAGATTACACTGGTTGGGACATGTGTTACACATGTCACCAAATAGGTTACGACGACGAGCGATGTTCGCCGAAGCAGACATCGAGCGGAAGAAAGCCAAGGGTGATCAAGCTAAGATCTGACATGAGGGTGTGAAAACCCTGACCAACAGTCTGGGTCACTTGGGTCCTGTTAGGCTTCCTGGCTGGGGACCTCGGGATGATCGTAACCGATGGTTAAAGACATTGAATGATATGGCTGGGTGTCGTACACAGTGGCCCTCGTACATCTTGTCGATTTCTCTGCAAAAAATTAGTGCAATGAAATTCTTACTTCTCTCTTTGATCCCACTTTCAACCTTTCCCGTCTTTGTCTCTCATGCTCATCCCATTGGGCAACCAAAAGACAGCAATCAAATCCGGCGCACTATATTGCATAGTTAATGTTTGTACAAATTGAACTGAAGTGAATTTAGCTGAATGTTTTTAAGACGCTCGCTGTTGTCTACGATGCTGAATCTTCAGTGCCCTGGTGGTTGAATAAAATTGGTGTGATGTCCGAATTTGTCCTCATTAAACTGATGTAATATGAGTATCTAGGTGAAGGACACGAGAAATCTCATCTGTTTCGTGATAGCTTCACTGTCGGTTCTCTTCTCTGGCCAGGTGAAATTAAAGAACTGCAAAGCGACACACTAGGTTGAACGAAAGCTGGAGTTTGTCACCCTATTTATTGATTTGATGATGCTGTGTTTTGTGGAAGATGCAAACCGTATAGGGGTTGATCCAAAATCAGCTAATCGCTTTACTGTGTGTTGCCACTTTATCCTCTGTACGATCACTATCACTCAAGCTATTTATTAACCAATAATTTTCTTCCAGTCTTATTTTAGAATTTCCCCCAACATTTCATGATAAAGTCGGGGTTATGTACCTCCTTTTCCTCGTTGTTTCATTCAGCCGCTTCATTGCGGAGCACGATATTTTTCTTCAATTTGCTTTCAACCAGCCGTTGAACAGCTCCTATCAATCGAGCGTTGTTATGTGAGTCTTGTGTTCGAACCCGATGGCCCCGCCGGAAACCAACACCTCATTTCGTTTAAATGCAACTGGCTTCCTGAACGATAAATCTTTCCTAAAAACACGAAGGAACAACTTTTCTCTGTGATGGCTAACTTTTTATCTCAGCATTCACTTTACGAATATTGTACAAACACAAGGGCCAATCCACGAGGAAGTTTTCGATCCATACTATCTTTACAATCAACTCTGACTCCAACTATGATATTTCATTGTGTTTTACTTTACTGCTTATGTTTCACTGAGCATGGTTTTCCCCTCAGGTGTATATATGAGCTGTGTCCCGTTCCAACCTCCGCAACACGTGTGACACGCTTTCGCTTTGCTGCTGTATTTATTTGCTTGCATTGTTTAGTCGTCACAGTGGCACGTATTCGGTACTTTCTAGTACTGCGATACGCCAATAAATGTTTACGACTACCACGAGGCAACGAGACACTGAGAGGTCACGCGCGCTTAATTTGAGATTCGTAAGGAGATTTATCGACAGGCCGTAAACGTCGAATAGCTAGCTTCACCACCGGCACAGAGAAACGCACGGGTTTACGCACATTGATCCACACAATATGTCTGCCCCTCGAGATGGCATGAAGCACAAGGTGAGATATCCACAGAGAGAGGGAGAGGGCTTTACAGATAGACCTAGAAAAGCACTGCCCTGTGTGTTATGGATGTACGTACAGTGTATACATGAACAATTATTAGTAATAAAAACACACAGGTTCACGAGATATCACATGCTGCAAGTGCAGCTGACAACGAGCAATGCATATGGCCGCATCACTTAAACTTTCTAAATTTTATGAAAGTATGACGAGCTCAAGACGATTCTCTTCTGTGTTGAATAAATTGGTCAGCACGGAACGGAAAGCACGGGACAATTTGCAATTGGTCAGTGTGCACCGACCCCGTACAGTGTTTCGACAAAACGCACAAGAAAACTTCGCATCGCCAACAGTGCCACATTAGTTCTATGCGCGAGACATTTGTGCGGTTTGGCTGTTGCCGCCGCTGTTGCTGTTGCTGTTGCTGCCGCTGCTGCTGCTGTTTGTGGTCGTGATGATGACGGTGACACTGATGTCCTCCGGGCCGATTTTCTGCTCGTGATTGTCCTAGTTGTTGTTGCCCCCGTGGTCCCCGTTATTCCCATTGCTTTTTCTGCTCGTTTTTTTCGTCGATACGTCCCGTATCCGTTGGGATCGAAATTGATTGGATCAATATATTCATGGTCAAATTGATAGTAGCAACCGATCGGTGCTTGCCACGACAAAATGTGCTCCAACCAAGACAATTCGGTCTGATCGACAAAACCGGCATCTCCGCATATTCCGACTGATTGGGAACACACCAAAAAAAAATCGAAGACGGGAGGTGGAGGATGCGGAGGAATAAGAAACAGAGAAATCGATTTTACACAATAAGTATTAAGTACATATATATATATGTGTGTGTGTGTGTGTATTACAAAGTATTACAAAGTCCAAAATGGAATTCCTGTATGTTCAGCTAAAATAAAGCTAAGCTATAAAACGGGCAAATTACACAAAATTGTTCAATGCGTCTTTAGGTGCTTTGACCGTAACAGTGAGTTATTCATATTCCGTATGCACAACAACAAGGCGGGACTTTCAAATTTGGCCGCGTTGTTTTGTTTTCTGTTCGATCATTCACATTTCCGTTGTGTTTCACATACCAACGGCTTTGTGAACCGAAGCTATACAGTGATATTGTGCGGTTACGATGACGCCAATTGCGAAATTTCATAATACCTTCATAAAAAAAACATCAACAACCGTAACTTCCCCCCCCCCCGGGAAGTACTTGAAATTGAAAAATCCTGAGAAGCTCAGTTTGATGGCCTCCCAGACAGGCTCCAGTTTGTTCTATCACCCGAATCCTTCCACCTATTGTGATCACCTAACATAGTACCTAAACTTTTGTAACAACACATAATGCAAATAAAAGACACTATACATTCGTCTACTCATTTTAAACAGTTACCTCGAAGCAATTAAAGGGTTTACAACCACAAAAATCTTCAGACAGTAAAGCTCTCATCACTTGCTATCACAGTGAGCTACATCGATTCTTACACAACAGAACCTGCCGGGAGTTTTCAATCCTCAATCTTCAATTGGCAATTGACGTTTGGGAGCTAAATAGAACATTTATTAAAGCAACCAGAAACAAGGAGATGGCACAAAAACCGACTTCCGAGGTGGTACAGGACCCTTGACTGTTAAACAAGAGGATATTGTAAGAGAGTTTTGCGGCTTCTCAAACCCAATAATTCATTCGGTTCGGACAGGTTGAAGGCTGACACATTTTCGCCAGTGCCGACAGCTATATTAACCTGTGCTTAGAAAACGGAATTTTATCTGATTGTTGGAAATCTGCCACGATTGCCCTGGTGCCTAGAAGGAGAATCTCAAAATTCCGTTCCATTGCATGTACATCTGTTGTGCTGAAGCTTTTCTAAAAGTTACTGCTTCAAAGAATTTTGCCTCAGATGAATGTGCAGGAAGGACCCTAACCTATTTGCGTACCATCGCTCTCACTTTATACAAAGTCTTCCAGCTTCTCTGGTTTACTAAAATTCTATCAGTATTTGATGGAAATAAAAAAGCTGTCGGAATATACTTTTTTGGTTACAGCAAAGTGTCCGATTGTGTTGGTAGGTCCAAGTTGTTAAATATATTATCTTCCAATGGATTATCGCACACCAAAACTGCAACAGTCAAAAACTATTTCGCCAATCTATCACGGTCTATACATTGATCTTTCCTCCTCTCCGCTAAATTCTACACGAGATATTCTAGAATGGTGTCAATCTGTCCAATTNTTCATCTAGGCCTACTTTTCAAGATTCTCTGCTCCATAAATACGCGGATGATATTGTGGTCGGAATCGTCGGAATCCTGATACCCCCCAAATGTTCGACTTTGGCGGTGTTACTCGGGCGAAATGAATCTTAGTCTGATCAAGTTATTCCTGTATTTGCCTAGGTGAGAAAATTATCATACTAGAGTCCTACACCTGACAGTTATATCCGTCCCTCGATTCTTGGTTAACCGTTTTGTTTGGCTGATAGTTTGTTTACCCCTTTGGATGTACGGGTCCTCTGTAATTGTTCAATAGATGCCTAAGATCGTCTCAATAATCCCACAGAACACATTTCAAAACAACAGTGTGGTGAACAAACTCGTTTTCAGTTATTCGTAATCAAGCCATTACATAACATTAAATATGACTAACAATAGGAAACGAAACAGGGGATGAGAAATTCCAGTCCTAATGATTCAGCTGTGGCTCCAATCATGCGTGCNGTGTCAAAGGTTCAAGTGATTGCACACGTGCTGAAGTGGCTGAATTGGGTCAGGGGAGATTAAGTGCTTGCACAAATTTCTTCTGGGCGCACAAGGGGGGTTTGTGAATCCGAATACTTACGGCTTCGGCCGTGGCTAAGATACGATGCTTCACTGCTTTTGATTGCCTGCATCGAACCTTGTAAATCGGTCGGAACGCGCTTGCTACATCTACCGAATGATTTGACTCAACGAGATGCGAACACACCGCGCTCATAACTGTCTTAATTGTTCCAGTCCTCAGCCAAGCCGAGCGGTGTTCGCGAAACTGACACTGTGATCAATTTCACACACGCACGCATGATTGGAGCCACAGCTGAATCATTAGATGCTTAAGAGGAAAATCTAAATTTTTTCCCAGATCCTTAGCACGCTTATCTTGAAGTAGTGGGGTTGTTCGTGAACGTCTCTGTCATCTTATTGTTTCACAACAAACAAACGTGTGTCATTTGTACTCCTCAAAATCATAAATAATCTTTCACATCCGGTACATACAGAGCTTATGAAGTGCGTTCGTTCTTTTCTTCCTTCCGGCCCCGTTATAACTGTCAATAGGCTCGAACAATCGCCTGTCTGTTTGCTGGTGTCTTATCTTGTGCATCGTTTCTGAACTAAATCACTCAGAACGTGTGTTTGTGTTTGTGTTTTGTTCTTGCTTTTCGAAATTCTTGTGTACACTTGCTTGTTTATTGATTCTACATGGACTATGTGGCTGTTGAATACTCTCCTTTCGGGTTGTATAAATCAAATACCGAACTTGACAGCCGTCTTCCTAAGAGAGAAACAAATTGGTCGATTGATTGATATGATTAATACTGGTGTACCGTTTCCAGTTATTCCCATAAAATTGTTATTCTATCATTTCAAGCATCTGACACGACGTCCCCGGGATTTGGGACTTGTTGTATCGCCGGTGCCTAAACAAATGCTTCGCTTAAGGAAAAAAGTGGGTACCAAATCTATCCCTAGTCTAGATCATCTAGGTTAACTAACGACCATCTTATCTATCGACCGGGGAGAAGTCTACTATCCTGTACATTGTGTCTTTCTTAACCGGTGAAAGATAGTCTAAATGTGGAATTAAACCGTAACAGAGGTCAAACATTTCCAAACCCATATGGTTCAATTTCCTTACCCTGACGTGATTAGACAACGTTAGACCAGGTACTTCCCCCTGCCCCTGTGAAAACGTTACCTCAACTCTCACGTCACGTCTTCCGCCGCCCCTCGTGGTACGGCCCTTGCACCTCACCGGAAAACCGAACCCCTTTGTAAATCTGAGCTCTAAACTATCCAACATTGTCTCTTTTTACACATACTCATGTGATTTTTGATTAGGTTGTTCTCGGTCTCGTAGAAAACAGTGTTGTTTTTTCTCCTCCATCGTTTTTGTTTTCAAACTACAGTCACATTTACTCACTTTGTTCCATAAACAAGTCCCGATATTCCAGGGGAAAATCGGCCGCGGCCAAACTGTTTGCCTCAATAAAGATCCGAGTGCACAGTGTTTGTAATAGTTTGTCCAACGACCGTTCCGTTGTCGTCTCCCTGGTCATCCGTTCCAAGTCTTCTAAGCAACCAGACTGTGGATATGAATCATCAGTAATGGGCACATGTAACAGACAGGGAATCGAGGCTCCGTACACAATAGAACATATCTTTTTATTGAAAACAAACAAAAACAACATTGATTGTGGCAATAAAACCCGGTTGGTGACGGAATGCTTACACTCAGCTTTTTACTGCTGGGAGAATTGAACAATGCGTGTGTCACGACATAAGGATTTCCTCGTGTGTGGATTAAATGAAGCTGGGGAGCATTGGGCAACTGTTCTGACTTGATCTGATCTCAGAAGCCGTGCGCGAATTCATCCGCCCGGCTGAGAAGCAAGTCCTTCTGACTCCACTTTAGCAATGCAGCATACAACTCATTCGTGAGGAATTTCGGATTCACTTTGCATAAGCATCAATCACGCTCTTTAAGTGCGGTCATTTAGTTAATATCTTCTGTTTGCTCATTCCGATGAAGCGGTAAAAGAGAGAGTAGAATGTAGAGGGAGGTGCGAAAGTGGGAATAGAGAATTCTGGTAGACTAAGGTTGTAAGATTATGAGGTGATGCAAGAGCACAATCGTTTACGACACGCAGTCATATCGCTTAGTGTCTCCAACTGTCGGTTACGCTGATCCCAAGGTCCCCATACAAGGAGCCTGATGTGACCTATAAGACCGATTCTTCTGATCAGGGTTTTCATAGTTCCATAGCAGGTTTTCGTTTGACAAACCCGTTACTTGGTTCCATTTATCATGTGCCTCAACAATCAACGTGCGCCGTAGCAACCTGTTTGGTAGCAAGTGTAACACACCCCAACCAACGCAATAAACAAGGGGCGACGACATCAACCAAAACTCTTCATCTAATCTCGTCATTGATTTGCCTCTTAAGCCGCCAGATTCTCGCAGTGTTGTGTAGGTAGCAGTATTGGATTACCAACAGACTTTTTTATCTTGCTTTCGTAACGTTCAAGTCTCTGCGCTGTCGTCAGAGTATTCAAACCAGGGCATGATACAAAGCTTAGTCAGCATGACTGAAAATCCATGCACAGTCTTATTTAAAGTGATGTGGTCTTTCGAAAAAGTGCGATCTTAAAACTACAACATTTGTCCACGCACCGCTTGTTTTCAAGTGAGCAGATTCTCCGGGACCAACTGCACGTATATGCGAGTTCCATCGCAACGTCAAGCGGAAAACAGCTAAATTTTGAGTTGATTGTGACCACTTGAAGTTGAGCCATCCGACCGATCGCTGCATAAAGCTGATCGATCGTGTGATTCTCGATCCAGTATAAGATGGGAATAATTTCTGAATCCGATGCTGCTTAGGATCACCGGAGAATCGGAACGATGCTTTATCTCAGTTTCGACAAGACGGACTATTAAAGGAAATATCAAACGCGAGTTTAGTTTATGACTACTCATGAGTAGTTAAACATGTTTAACACATTCCTTCCCAAAAAATAGAATTTTCCAGGGGGCACTAAGTTATGGAGTGGTCATTGATCGTTAAGGGAGCATTTTATATATATGAAAACGTGTATTTTGTTTGGTTTCATAGAGCACTTGTCATCGATTTCAGGATCTACGGGTTTTGGTGTCCTTATGATTAAAGGAAAGAGCCTACCATTCCTTACTCTACTGCGGGTTAAGTGCATGTAATTTATTCGACCAATTTCTAACTCACATTTATTCCGAGTAGAATGTAGATAACTTGATGTGCTAAACTGTATCCTGATTGTTCATCTGAGATGACTTTACGCCAGCAATCTTCCGATAAGTTGCATCGTCCGTCACTGAAACATGTAAAACAAAAATGATCGGTTTGGGAAGGTGCGAAGAAATTATGTATCCAAGGTTTTCGGTTTCTAAATTTTCTGTTCATTCTGATAGTGAACCTTTTGAGGTTTTGAAAACTTGAGTGGACTCGTAACCTGTTTGCTTTCGAAAACGGTACAAAGTAAGAACGCATGAAGATGACCAGAGTGGTACGCTCATGAGATAATTTGTGTCTCCTAAAAATGATGTCATCACCAATTGTGAACACGAAGAGAGATAAATCTTGTTGTTATGGTGGTCTGCTGTTCACATTTTATGATTTTTGTCATATATGGATACATGGATTGGTAAACTGCCCACTGCCGCACATGTTACGCAGCCCGACAACAATGCAGCTGATTTTCATTGATCAGCGATAAAAAATTGTATATGGAGGCTACAACACATTTTTCCAAACTTCATACAGGATAGATGACGTCAGTTCTGTTGAACATTAATCCGCGTTTCACGACTAATATCGATCTAAACCCGACAGAGAAGGCAGATTTCAATCAAACGCTTTTAAACTGACGACAGATTCCTGGTTTTGTGTGTCATCATGTGGATACCACTCACTAAAACGAAGTTTCAAATCAACTCGTAGAAATCGATCACACAATTTACCATTCTGCTCCTCACTGCCCCTGATTTGGCTGAAGTGAACAGCAACCGGCCAGGCCAGGATTGGAACAATGGAATACATGTTAACCCTATCCCAACTGTAGTGAGAATTCAAATTCTGCCACAGTTCATTTGCATCAGGCGTCACGTGACTGGTCGGCCTGCTGTCGATTTCGCAATCACTGACAGATCCGATATTTTCACTGCTCTGTATTTCAAATATCGATCCTGTAAACCGTTTCGTCACAAGTACAGCTAGCCCAATCCAGTTCGGTGACTTATGTTCTGCCTAAACCAGGGGCATACAGTTATATTATCAACCGACTCAGACTATGTGGCACCTGCAAATACCAATCAACAATCTCTCCCACATCAAGCGAGTGTGATGCCGGTGGTGGATGGATGGATCGAATGGAGTGAGAATTTGGTGTTAAGTCAAAATCAAAATTGACAACTCATTTCTGGCCACAAGTAACAGTAGGATTCAAATTAAAATCTTTTCGATGAAATTGTTTATCTAAGACAATATTTTATGACAATACACTAGAATTGTCCATGATCTCTAAGTGACCCAGAGTTACACCACGTACACGCACACAGATCTTCGATTCTTGGTTGATAGTATAACGCTATTCTATTTTCTGTTCGTTGGTTCCAGGTAATCGCTTTGTGGTTTGATTTTGCGATCGACTGTAATGCGATTTTCTAGTCCGAATTTAAACAGTCAGTGTCACGTGACTTAAACACACAGGTGCTGTTGAATATTCATCTATCGTGAACTTGACTTGACTTCATATTTCGAATGATGAAAAAAAGAAATCCAGAAAGAGTGATCTGTCCAAAAGTGACAAATGTGTACAAAACGGGGATTTTCACGAACGATTTTACATTCTCGCGATCAATAAGTCGTCGACGAAAACTCATCACTCAGACCGTTCACAGTTGGTGAAATGTATCCGCGAAAGAGAGAGAGAGGGAATAAACACACAGTTTGGGCAAAAACAGTCAAGTCCTCGGCAAGTTATCTTAAATGCGAATGTCCATTATCCAGTTGAAGTGATCAACCTCGTAATCAACAGTATAGATTGGTGAGATAGAATGTGAGAAGGAAATTGAGGCCTTAATCGGATTCACCAGATAGAACGGATATTTCTGTTAATCACTGGGTGAGTGTTGAGGGTAACAGCTCACAATGGGTTTAAAATGCTGAAAATGGGATTTTGAAAAATTGCTTTGCTTGAGATGATATGAGGTGCCACGAATCAATGGAGTTCTCTCACTTTTGCAAGCGTAACTCGTGTATGGAGTATGTCTAACTTGCTCAGGATTCCGATACTTCAGCAGTCTTTTCTGACACCGACCAAGTTCGATGGTACACTGTTCATTTACTGTCTTCAACAACCTGACACACTTTCTGTTTAGCCATGCCATTTACGAGCATGGAGCACAAACATGTGAATTGTCTGTGAAAAGCTCATCTCAGAGCTATCCTTGAAATTACCGTTCGCAAACGGAAATCCAGTTGTATTCATCGATAGACATTGTAAAGCAACACCGAAAGTATGCAAAACAATAACTGTCCCAAAATTAAACCTGTCCTAAAATTTCCAACCACAGGTGATGAAACGCGAGTCCATTAATAATCATCAGGTGGTTGGACTCAGCCTTTGAGTGCGTCTATTATTCAGTTGATCCGATCATTGTCTTCACTACCACGACAATACCACGACAATCATCGGTGGAGAAACCCAGGCCCCATCTCCGAAAAATAAAACTGCATAGGTAGGACAGAAAGGTAGTTACGTACACCCAATGAATGAACATAGCCCGGTGTGACTTAGGAAAGCGATGGACGACAACTATAAAAAACGTTTCGTCATCGGCTGAGCAGAAAAGACTCCGATCTTCGATTACGCAAAATACCTATTCGAACATAAACATTGCATCACTCCAGCGGCCAGGACAGAAAACCCAGAGTTACAGAAATTCGCCGAGGCTCTCACCACTCTCACTCACAAACTCGAGTCATGCAGACAACATGAATTGTTTGCCACATGAGTTTTGCCTTGGTGATTGACTCCCACTCTGTTTCGCTCTCCGTGGTGTTGCGTCATGCTGCCTATTTTAATTGACAGTCTCGTCTCCGTCTTAGTGACTGTTATTTCACCTATACACCAAAAAAACGCAATTCCGTGTACAGATGCGGCGAAATGACTATGGATGAATTGTACAAACCCATACTCCACATTTGGCAGAAGTAATAAATTGTACCTACTGGATTTTCAACTTTCTTTTCTCTTCACATTACTCAGCTGTTTTTAAAAGCACAAAAGTGGGCCTCGCTCGATGATGATTAATCTCAATATGCGTCAACATAAACAAAAATAAGCAAGCAAACAGAGAACACCAAAAGTCTTGAGCAAGTCACTTAATTCGAACGTGAACAGAAAGCTGGACTCCCCCCGCCCTCAAAATGCCATCAACAATACGAATCACCAGGCTACAATCTGAACTTAAATTTAACCCTGCTATTCATAAGCTACTGTTTCGTTGATTTCCGCAAACAATCACGTATGTAGTTGTCCTTGAATATCACCGAGGTTGAAAGTTGAGAAAATCACTTTAGTGGCCTCAACAGTGACTGGGGCGGAAGATGTTGATCCGAGAGCAATTATCTCCCTCCTCAAAAACGTGACTATTGATTCCCAACGCGGGTCAGGACATTTACGGGGTCTAGTTGGTCAATTTTCTGCAGTTGCGGCCTAAACATAAATTGATCAAGAACGGGGTGCAGGGGGTGGAATGGACTCACTAACTTGCAGAAACTTAATTTATTTGAACGAGAGCAGGTGAACAGGGATTACGAAACAACTCAAGTGTGTCGATCATATTGTGTCTTACTGTTGGTAAAAAAGATAGCACAAATCTAATTCCCTGTAATCTAGTTATTTTGTTTTATGGTTTTCAAATTCTGCGAAGTAAATCCTACTCTGATTGCTTAACTCATCGCTGATAATCCAACTCGTTGAAACTATTCATTTCACGGTAGTGTGAATCAGAATCGCTAAACGTGTCATCATCATGTGTGCCATGTGTGTGGTCAGTCGGTGTGCGGTTTAATCTGACACAGTCATCTGCGGCTTTTGTGAGTCACTCCGGAATCGGATCCTGGTTAGAAGCACTATGCACCAAGTTACACCGGTCAGGCAATCAGCATGCACCCCGAAAACTCCTTTGTTCTGGGACAACCAATAAGAACAAGGACAACGGAATTCAGTTGATTGGTCGGAGCCATCAGCCAATTCGAAGGGTCAACCAGTCGGCTGGAGTATGCATTCTCATATATTCTTTCTTCTCTATAAATAACAATAATAAATGAACTCCTGCACGCTCCCAGTGGTGTGTTGTATTCCAGTACCTGCAGAGCTCCTATCTGGACGAGAAACTATGGTTATCCTGGCCTATGAGATGACGCACACTACGCAGTGACACGTTAGTTTTCGGACAACTGTAAAGAATCAAGCCACCCCAGGTGACATCAAAAATGTGCGTACGTGTCAGAGGATTTCTCATTGTATGTGTTTTCTATTCTATTATTGTACCGCTCACCTCAATCGGTAAGTTGGATCAACCGAATTGGTCAAGTGAATCGAAATGGTACCGCCCATCTTGAGAAGAAATTATTGGACGGTATACATAAGAAAACAACTAAACTGATGTTTCTTTCCTTAATCTCGAAATAGGGGGGGGGCAGGATCGTACATAAATTTTAAAAAAACATTGAATATATTGTGTTCGCAAGTGCACATATGTATATCTCATTTCCTGGTTGAACGAAACGAGGACATTTTTGCTTTACGGGTAATTTGCACAACAGATACGCACCGGGAATCTTGGGTGAGTGATTTTAAAGCTGAAGCAATATATCCATTATCTGAACGTGCATACACATAAAAACACATAGAAAAAGGTTTCCCATATCTTTTTATAGCATTTCCCTCAGTAGGTGAGGGTTTAATCTATTATGCACACACACACACACACACGTGTTAGCGACCAGTTTTTCCACAATTTGTTTATGATAGATGAAACTCAAGAAAATTCAACCATTCCGATAATTCACACAGTTGGTTTAGGTGCACAACGACCACTACCGGTTGGACTTACCTCCTCGTCTTGTTCAACAGCTCATGCATACAGTCGTCACAGGCTTTCTCATCCCACGCGTCTTCCTTCCCAATACTCGTCCAAACCAGTGAATAGTTCAACTCATCCGGTGGTCGATACAGTGCCCATGAGTACGGTTGTATCATGTGAAAAACTCCTGCAGGAAAGCAACATGTACGAGGTTAGATAAAACGTGGGAGATGGTAAGGCATGTAGAACAGAATGTAATTTTTCCGTTTTTTTTCGCTGGTGCGAGTTATTCGTATTGTTAGGGAGGTTGCATGTGACTGACCTTGGATCTCGGTCATAAAGGAAGCTATTTTAGACAGACTGAAGCGAGAATGAAGGTAGGGAAGTGCAATTCGGTGTCGAACAATGGCTCCCGCACTTTCAAAGGTTCAAAATACACGGGAGAAAAATCAATAAACATGCAACAGAGGAGCATGAGAGGATTTTCGATAATTATTTTGACTGTTGCGTCCGTTTGAGCATGTAGCTGTTCCAATACGCATGTTAAGGAAAACTACATCCATAATTTAAAACGAACAACCTTGAACTGCGGAATAATGATCAATCCTGAACTGGAATGAACAACTTTTAATCCAGTATAAATAAATGAACCCCGACAAACGGAAACCAATGAGAGCGTGCAATTAAAACACGAATTTAGCAAATAGACCGCGAAAAACTGTGTCAAACGTCATGGAGTCAATCATGACTGATTCCCCGATAGAACATTTGGAAAGATACAGCATTTGTTTACCAGCTGAACAAAACTTCGAGCAAAAAAAACTATCCTGTTCCACCAACTTGCATCTTGTTCGAGATGAATGAACTACAGAACAGTCGACGAAGGAGTTGCGATGGATGTGAGTTATCTGGACTTCTCAAAAGCATTTGATTGAGTCAATCACCATATTTTGTTACAGAAGCGTGTTCAACTACGGTATCGAAGTTTCGTATTTGCTTCTATCGAAGCATTCTCCAAAAACGGACCATATCAATTCGTTATTCCCTGTCCGATTCCATCATAGTTACCTGCGGTGTTCCACACATGGTTTAATACTCGGTCCGCAACTTTTCCGCGTATTCATAAATGATCTATCGTTTGTGTTAGCGATGATAACAATACTATTTACAGACGACCAAAGATCTGGAATACAGTACAAGAATCCGAGGGCTTGCTATCACTTCAAGACACACTTCATGCGAATTATCAATGGTCTACCGAGAACGATATTGAAATCGATATTTCTAACTTCAAAGTCCTATCCGCAGAACTCAACAGCTGAGTAGGATAGGTATAACTTTTTAAGAGGACTTCAACATCTCCAAAAATTGTGCCAGTGCTTCGGTCGTTGCTGTGACGAATATCGACTTGGATAGTTGCGTCTCTGGTTGGTTTGAATCAGCACTGTTACCATGTTTGTTATCATTGTAAATTCGACCGTACACAGAGTATGCCATCCAAGCCTGGAGTCCATGGTTGCAACACGATCGTAAGATGCTAGTGAGACCACAAAGAATTGCCACCAAGATGGTCGAGGGATTAAACTGCTTCACGTATGAGGAGAGATTACGGTCATTGGGACTATATTCTACTCAAATTCTACGCCAAATTCAAGTACACTTGGTTTTCGTGTATTAAAAACAATACCGACACCAAACTATCCACATCGGTTGTTTCTCACGTTCCTGTCCAACATGAGTTCAGTTCAGTTTTCACAACCATTGGTCATGCATCGTTCTGCACCGGTTTTGGTTGCTGTCTTTTAACCGCCCATTTGAATAAAAGAGTAGAATTAAGACTTGGAGGTTGAGAGCAAAGTTAAGAGGAAGATAGAAGATATTCATATGGACTGCGGTCACCAGATTATTGAGTAGGCGTACGAGCGGTAGTGTTTGCGACAATCAGCCATATTAATCAGCGTCCCTAACCACCGATGATCATGATATCGCCCAATATACAAATTAGGGGAAATCGTTTCAAGTTACTGATTCAAAACTGTCGACTGAAGTGCTGATGTCATTTTTTTTGTAGTCCGAGTATGCACCTGTTGAGCAGCTTTCCATCTCAGGAAGTTTGTGTACCGTCTGTGGAAGCATTTATTCAAGTGGACACTTGATGAAACCCTGACTCAGCTCACATCCCCATACAACTAAAATAAAAACGCATATTCGTTGAAGACTACATTATGTGTTATCTGCAGATCCGGACCTATATGTGTTACTTATGTTTCTTCTCAGAGACGATTCAATTGTGCAAATATCCTACCGAAAGCAAAGTAAGCCAGACTTTCACTTTGATCGACAATACTCCGCGTTTTTTGTCAGTTAAACTCTCGCACGAGAAGGGGAACAATGCATAAGTCTTATAAGCATAATGAGCCCTGTTGTAGTCCGTTTATAGTCAGATTTCATCAGCATCGAATACCGGTTGAATCGATGGATTTTGAAAACTGAAACAGATCCCAAATTGAGTGGATCGAACTTGGTGAAGCCGCCAGTTATCTTATTTTGATTGATTTGTTCATACTCGATGGCATAAATCTAACGCTATTTTTTCTCGCACAGATCTTTTTTCATGTTCCGTTTTTCATGTTCGATTTATTCGCTGCATAGAATCGTTCCGCTGCGTCCACAAAAACGGAATTGCTCAAACTCACCGTTTTTCATTCAATTATGGTTTCGTTTGAATGCATCTTCATCATGCATTTCATCACGCTTTTAGTCTCCATGGGACTTATTTGCACCAAATAAAAGTTACCAATTGGGTTTGAATCACACTATCTATCCTTGTGTAACTCTAGGGGCCTTCTCTTCCAGGTAAGTTGCAAGCTTTTCTGAATAGCTTGAGCGCCACCATAGCCATATTCGGTATGTGTTTTGCACCTTCCGAGGGCAGAGTGCTACTACAAGACTGGTTTGGTCCAGCACCCAGTCTCACTCTAAATGGGGAAGTAATGGAACAGGTAGATAAGTCTGTTATTTGGGTGGACGCATCACAGATGAAGTATCGGCTCGCATATAGAAGGCTCCATTGGCATTGAACAACTGAGATATCCGCTAAGATATCTGGCTATCTGTTAAGAGTCACGTGCATGCCGCGGCAGTTCGACCGGATCCGCTATACCGCGCAGCAACTTTGCTAATAAGAAAACAGGATAAAGATAGACTGTCGATGTTCGAACACTGCTACAGCATTGCACAAGTCCGGTGGGGCAAACGGACGAGTAATGCTGAGGTAAGACGCAGAGATTTAGGTAAACGCGGTCGCTCACTGAAGTAAAAGGTCGACCTCCATGTATTGCGTTGTGTTACACATTTTAGGAGCAGTTATCGGTTTTTCTACTTTGGGTGCTGCTCTACAACGTTTGGCGATGAATGCAAGCGGATATCCGTTCGCGTACAGAACATTCTTTGGGAGGTTAATTTCGTCGGTTAGAGAGTCCTCTGAGCATAGTTCACGCGCTCGATGAAAGTGTGCGAACGAGACCAATTTTGTATCGCACGGGGACGAAACTCGTGAAGTGCA